GATTATTATGTGCCAACTAAAAGGAAAAAGAAAACTACTCCTAAGATTTTGGCAGGCATATATATGCGCAGGTACACATGTGAGTTTTATTACTATTTAAAACATACAAAAAGTTTTAAAAATATGATGAACACCCTTGACAAACCTCTTAGCTTAGAAAACATAATTGAAGCTTCATGAACAGCTCTCTCCAATCCATCATGCAGTGTCCCCCTGAAAGTATCCACTAACCTGAATTTAGTCTTTGTTAGTCCCATGTTTACTTTTAGACTTGATTGCACATATATATACACAATCCTAAGTAAAGGCTTATTTTGTATATTTTAAACAATTTCCAAATGGTGTAGTGTGTGTTCTGCATGTTGCTTTTTCTTTTCAATAAAATTCAGGACGTGATGTGTCACTGAAAAGTACTGTTATTACATTTGAGAAGAGGGGTTGGGGTGAGGGGTAGGAAGGCAAGGCAGATAAAAAAGGGAAAATTTTACTTTTTGTTTTATGTCACTCTGAATTTTTCTAACTATGTAATTTTTTTCCCCTTCATTTTTCAATGTCAATATAAGTTAACTGGGCAGTAAAATTATGGGCAATGTGCCATTTCAACTTTCTTTTCACTTTTTATGCTAAAAAAATATCTAACAAGTTGTTTTTTAGTGAGTTGAATCAAAATCATTAAAACTTAGCAATATAAAAACAAAAACAAATGAGCATTTAAACAACTAATAATTTTTCAAAAAGTTATATTGAAATTTGACAGAGCTCTTTTTTGGTAACGGCCTAGCTCATTTCTGGTTTTCATGGGTATAATATAGGTTAACATCAACTTCTTTTATCTTGTCTTACGTGTCTTAACATAGATAGATCTTTTTCTTCCAGACCTTCCCGATCCTAAAGAGACTGACTAAGACCTGAAAGGGAAATTTTTGTCATCTATTGTCTCTTAAGGGCAGCTACTGTAAGACTTCCAAAGAACTTTGGTCTCCACAATCTATCTTAACCTGAACATTCTATCAAGCCCAGGTCTTCAAGATAAACTCAAACAGAAAATGTTTAAATTCAACTACAGCCTGGAAGTCCTCCCACTTTGAGTTGGCCTGCCTTTCTGGACCAAACCAATGTACTTCATAAAGGTATTTGATTAATGTCTCATGCCCCTCTCAATTATATAAAACCAAGCTGGCTGGGTGCAGTGGTGCATGCCTGTAATTCCAGGACTTTGGGAGGCCGAGGTGGGCGGATCACCAGGTCAAGAGATTGAGACCATCCTGGCCAACATGGTGAAAATCATCTCTACTAAAAATACAAAAATTAGCTGGGCATGGTGGCGCACACCTGTAGTCCTGTACCAGGAAGCGGAGGCTGCAGTGACTCAAGATTGCACCACTGCACTCCAGCCTGGCAACAGAGCAAGACTCTGTCTCAAAAAAATTAAAAAACGAAGCTGTGCCCGGACTACCTTGGCCATGTGTTCTCAGGACCTCCTGAGGGCTACGTCACAGGCCATGGTCACTCATAACGCATATTTGGCTCAGAATAAATCTCTTCATATATTTTACAGAGTTTGGCTTTTCATGTGGACAGTGGCAAGGTGAACACAAGCATATTAACATATATCAAGCTGCAACACAAATTCCAAATTAATTTATGACACTAAAATTAAAGCTACTAGCTAATGAAGTTTTAAATACTTAGGAACAAACAGATCAAGTGGAAATTTTGGCTCTCCATATAAAAAGAGAGAAGTCTACATTTCTACCCTAAGAATGTGAAAAATAAAGACTAACTTATTTTCTTATCTACAAAAAAGACTGCTTTTTCTAAGAAAAGAAACAAACTGAGCTTAAACTATTAAAATAATTACCTTCCTTTCTACCAAAAGATTGGTATCTGAAACTCTAACCCATTCAAAGAAATTAGTAACATAAAAAATATATGGTAAGTTCACAATACTATACATGTAGACATGAAACTTAATCATCATCCACTGGCATAAAACCCAAAAGAATTAGAGATATAATGAAAGAGAATTTCCCTGGGTGATAAAATTTATGGAATTCTCTGACTCTAACATAATGATAAAGAAAAACACAAAAGAAATAAGGACTTAGATGAATTTGTGACTCAATATATTACGTATTATTAGAGGAAATCGCAAATGGGAAAGGTGCTGTGGAAGAAGAAATTATACACCTAATCTTTTTGACCAACGAAACAATAACCATCTACTGTTTTGAACATTATATGCTAAGTATCCTGAATGTATGATCCTCATACCACAAAATAAGATTTAAAGAAGGTGACTTAGAGAATTTACATATCTTTCTGAAGATCACAGAGATAACAACAGCTTGTCATAGAAGACAACCAAGGCCTATTTAAATGCATTCTGCTTTGAGCCTAACAAGGATAGCTACCTTGTAGCTAAAAATGCACCCAGGAATCTCCATTGTAGGCCACTACCTTCCCTTGCAGAGCAACAATTAGCAGCCCAGTCATACTTTGCCTTGATTCCTCCTAGCAGCAATTCTGAACCATCACAACTAGCGAAAAGAATAGCTTCCATTCTGGAAGTCTCCCTAAAAGTTTAACTCATTTGTGAGAGATGGGAAAGTTCAAAGTTTATATCTTAGACTACATTACAAGGAGTTATGATCTCTTGCTCTATGGCCATCATCCACTATTAGTATAAACATATAACCATGTATATACATTTTCTAAATCAGCTATGTCTTAAATCAGCTACCTTGATTCGCTCTGGCATGTGTGAACAAAACTGGGCAAGCTCCAAACCCTAGTGCATGCTATTCCTTATTTGGAAACCTTCCTGACCTTCTGACTAGCTTCCTTTTCTTCCTCATCTTCTTTCTCCTTACCTATTCAGGAAATTTCCAATTTTTTAGCCAATCAGGTCAAGCATAGAATGTGAGGTCCTGTTCTGGCCAACAGAAACTGGACACAGCAGTAGAGTAATTGTGTCAGGTTACGAAAGTTATAAATGCCCCTGTCTCCCTTGTTCAGGTGTGCTCTCGTGGCAAGACTGCCGGTGAACTGCACCCTTCTTACAGGAAGTAAACTAGCCTTGTTGAGTTATCCATTGTCTTGGTGTGGATTTTTCCCAATGATATACACCCGTTTCCAACATAATTCTTGGGTTATTCCAATAATTTCAAATCAGTTAAGAACAGAGGCCCAGAAAAAGTATTTTAGGGGAACACATTACCTGGTATACTCTGGGGTGTTCAATAAATGACTATTAGTGGCTGAGCTATCCTTGAACCTGGTCTCACTCCTTGATTCCCATCCTAGAACTAGTGCTGGAGGTCCTCCACTGGAATCAACCCACCTTCCTATTGTGCTACTATATCTCTAATAATTTGCATGATTTGGACCAAACTCCACTGGGAGTGGCAATCAAATTCTCAGATAAGCCCCAAGTGAAACAATTTAAAGGATATGCGATAAAGAATCCAAGGACACATTTAAGTAAAGTACTGCTTTCCGTTTTTTAAGTATCCTAACTGAGCAATAAGAAGAGAGTTAAAAAGATAATGGGAGCCAGGCATGGTGGCTCAAGCCTGTAATCCCAGTAATTTGGAAGGTCAAGGCAGGCGGATCACCTGAGGTCAGGAGTTCAAGACCAGCCTGGCCAACATGGTGAAACCCTCTACTACAAATTTAAAAAATTAGCCGGGAGTGGTGGTGTGCGCCTGTAATCCCAGAGGCAGGAGAATCACTTGAACCCAGGAGGCAGAGGTTGCGGTGAGCTGAGACAGCGCCACTGTACTCCACTCTGGGCAACACAGTGAGATCCT